AAAAACTTCGGATTTTTCTCGGAAGAAATACACCCATGTCATCCTCGAGTAATCATCAATGAAGAGTATGAAGTACTTGTTCTTGGAAACTGAAGGCGTGCACATTGGACCACAGACATCGGTGTGGACAAGCTCTAGTATCTGTTTGGCTCTCCATGTTTTTTCAGTTGCAAATGGCTGCCTGAGCTTTAGTTTCTTACACACCGAGTTGATGCGTCGTCACTTCCTTTTTCCGGCATGATGATTCCTTCTTCAACAATATCCCAAAGATCATGTGACTCTAGGCAAGTCTTCATACGCACACTCCAATAGTCATAGCTTTCTCCATTCAACATCGGGGTCGATACTAACAAGTGGTATCAGAGCCTGTTCAATCATAAGCGGGCGTTAGAAAATAGAAGAGGTTGTAGGTGTATGAAAATGATAAGTGATTTTAGTGAGGTGTAGTATAGAGGAGGTGTTTTAGAGTAGAGCTCTTGTCTCTAGAAAAGAAGTATTGTATTGATATTTCTTGGGTTTGCTTATTGAGCAAAATGAGTAAAATGAGTCCTATTTATAGGAGCTAGAGGATCATTCTAGATCCTTATTAAATGCTAGGAATCTAGAACTATTTCTAACTACTTTAGATTTTACATTAGAATTCTCTAGTAGAGAATTATCTAGAACACTTTTAGTTATAGTTCTCTAGAACATTTCTAGCCTTTTCTACGTAGAAAATTCTAGATAAATGCATCACTATTTAATACTTCTGTCATGGCGAGCGATGGACGAGGCTGGTTGTCAACGCTCGTCTATGATGCCTACCTACAAGCAGATCGAAGATTATGATCCCAGCGGTGACTCAACTATAGGTTAAGCAAAGGCGAGATGAGGGATAGAGGAAACATGTGGGGGATGGACGAATGACGTTGGAGTGGTTATGGGGGCTTTGAGCTGAGGCTTTGAGGGGGCTGCCGAAACTGGAAAGGAATGGGAAAGGGGGTCAGTGCAGGGGCCTAGGGCAAGGGAGGCGGTTGGGACACGGTTTGAGGTTACGACAGTACGTGGGCGGTGCGGAAATGGCTGAGAGGTGTGGTGTGGTGTGGTGGAGGAATGTCGCACAGTTGCAGGGTCTCGGGACAGTGATTGGTGGTGGTTGGAAAAACTGTGGCCGGAGTAATTGTGTGTCACTGTGGAAATGTCACTGCGGGGATGTCATTGTGGCCGATGACGGTGGCCGGCGGCGGAGATATCGATCACTACAGTGATATCATTGTGGCAAGAGGTTGGGGCGAAGATGTCATTGCGGAGATGTCACTACGGAGGTGTCCTTGTGGCCGGAGGCGGTGGCAGCAATGACATGAGCGGCGGCGGCAACACGAGCGGTGATGACAATGACATGAGCGGTGGCGGTGACATGAGAAAATTTCTAACAGACCAGCCTTCTACGATTATAAATACACAGAGACCATACATCTGTTAGACCAGATTTACACAAACCACTCTTGGAAATTTCAGTCTAAATAAAAACATCGTTAAGGATTTAAGTATATTCAGGATATTTAGTTAATAAGGAGTCATATTTACGGAATATTTAAAATGTTCTCAATATTTTAATTTTATTTCAAGCAATTTCATATATAAAATGTAGTACTCCCTCCGTCCCTGAAAATTGTTCCCTGTTTCCTTTTTGGGCCGTTCCAAAAAATTGTTCCCCTTTTCCCTTTTGGAAAGTTTTTTGTGGCTACAATTCATTTACTTTTTTCTTACTCAACCACAACCATACATTTCTACTTTATTCTCACTTTCTTAAACTCCGTTCCAATTCAATGTGGGAACAATTTTCCGGGACGGAGGGAGTATAAAATTACTTTTTTTCCAAATTTGCATTGACTTTACCTTGGAATGGTAGTCTTTTCAACAGAAACAAAGAAGACCACATTTGTCATTCAATGATTGAACTTTTGCGCGATTGTCAAATTTCCATCGAACAAGGACACGTCCACTTCATCAGTAGATTATACACACGAATGTAGATTTCTTACGAAAATCAACAATACAGTAGGGTAAAAGGTGGAAATAAATCAAAGAAACGTTGAAAAGGTAAAAAGTAAAAAGAAATTGGAGGCATCAATTCTAAGGAGAGAAATGACACTACGTATAATATGTCAAATGGAAGGCAAATATCTTAAACTTGTATACGGAGTATCTTATCTAATACTACCTCCGTCCCAGGGACAAGTTCTCATTTTCCATTTTTGGCAGTCACAACAAAAAGTTCCCATTTCCTTAAATAGAAAGTTATCCCACATCAAAACAATGCAAAACAGTGCAAAACAGTGTCAAACTGTGTCGAAACAGTGCCAAACAGTGTCGAAACAGTGCCAAACAGTAAAATTTACCCCTCAGTAACTTTATTTCCTTAATATGTGTGAAAGTCAACCCGGGAACTTTTCCCTGGGACGGAGGGAGTATATACAGAGTAATACGGAGTATATAAGTACGGAAAATATCATGTCTAGGGGTTATCCATCCACCCGGCCGCCGCCGTATGAGGCGCTTCCCGGTGAATTTTTTTATGAAAGTTATTGAGCATGTGTTTTATTAAGTCTAGTTTATTCACAAAACATTTTAGCTAAAAATCAATCGTGAAGACAGTCAAACAATTTTTGAAAATAACGGCGTTTTTATATGTATATTTTGACGTTGTTATCTTGCAAAAATAATTTGACTGTCTACCCGATTGTATTTTTAGCTGAAATATTTTTGTGGATAATAATAGAATTGATGAAGAACATGCAAAAAAAATCATCAAAAAATGCACCGGGTACCGCCCAAAACAGGGTGGCCGGACGGAGCATTCTGTCACTCTTGCTGGACAAGATCATTCCTCTATATAAGTACACTTCCAACTTTATATAAATAAAAAATTAGCACCATGACAATATACTCCCTCCGTCCCAAGGAGAAGTTCTCGGGTTGACTTTCACACATATTAAGGAAATAAAGTTACTGAGGGGTAATTTTACTGTTTGACACTGTTTCGACACTGTTAGCACTGTTTTGACACTGTTTGACATTGTTTTGCACTGTTTTGATGTAGGATAACTTTTCATTTAGGGAAATGAGAACTTTTTGTTGAGACTGCCAAAAAAGAAAAGTGGAAACTTGTCCCTGGGACGGAGGTAGTATTATTTTTCAACAAATGTAAATTTATGATGTTAAGTACATATTTTAAAGAGAAAATTCCTTGAATAGGACTATAACATCAATAAAGTTTATAAAAAGGATTATCAATGTTTTATTCCTAAAATAGGAAGCATCCACTCATATATTGGAAAGTTTTAATCAATTTATTCTTTTAATAGGACTAAATAAGTCTTATTTGGGGAATAAAACATATTTAATCTTTTTCTTAACGTTGTTTAAGTTTTGGTTTTATATTGAACAATTTCTTTATTTTCATTTATTGTTTCAGACAACTTTCCTACATAAAACATTGCAAACAGACCCAAACCAGACCAGACCAAACTTAAACAGACCAGACCAGACAGACTTCCATATTTATAAAATACACAGAGACCATAAGTTTACCAGACCAAACCAGACCAGTTCAGACCAGACTAGACCAGCAAATTTCAGTCCAAAAGAAAACATCCTTTGTCTCATTAAAATTTCAAAAAATTGATATTTTAATATTTTTTTTACTAATAGTCAATTTTTTGGTGAAACTACTAGTCAATGTTAATTTTCAAAATACTAACATTATTTAAAGTATGATTAACATTAATAGTAACATTATTTATTTCACAATTAGAAATTAAGAATGTTAACTACATATTAAACGTATTTAAACTATTTATTTAATAATTCACAACATAAATGTATATTTTTGGAAGAAAAAAATGTCGCAATGGTGATAACACAACCTTTTAACTTTTTATAAATTTTGGTGTATTTATATTATCAAATTTGAAATATTTTCATGTCACACCACTCCAAAATTTGATGTATTTATTCCAAAGTTTGATGTATTTAAATTATTGTTCTCATTTTAAAATGGGAAGGCAATGTTATCTATTACTCCTCCATCCCGCAACAACACTCATTAACACATAACACATAAAAGGTTAACTTCTATTAACACTGCAATCGCAGATTTTAAGACTTAACTAGTGAAAAAGTTAACTTTAAAATATTGAAATTAGAAATTAAATCAATAAGAGTCCGTTTGGAAACGCTGTTTTTCGACTTATCGGGCTTATCAGTCAACTTTTTCACCAAACACATAACTTTTATTTTCGCGCGTTAAATTGTGTAATAAGCAGAAAAGGTAAGGTTGGAGTTACTTTTATGGCTGTATTGGCTGACGTTACTGTAGATGACCATTTTAGCTACTTTTACATATAATTTTTCTGTATTTTATTAATAAAATATATTTTAAAAATAATTTTTTCTTAAATTAGCAGAATCAGACAAAGTAGCCAAAGTATAACTAGATTAAAAATTTATTAGTTAAATCACATATGGTCAAAGTTTGACACAAAAAATAGCTATCAAAGTGACATGCATGAACTGTTACGAGTAAACTGTTACTATCATTTTCGAACAGAGATAGAGCAAAAATAGTATTTCTACTCTAATAAAGAGTCCAGTTTGGTAGCTTGAAAATCGGTTCATTTGGCTTATTTTTCTCAAATTTAGAAATTCTGACTGAAGTGACTGCATTGGCTGATTCTTCTGATTAAGAAAAAATTATTTTTAAAATACGTAGTACTAGTATATTTTATTAATAAAATAAAGAAAAAATTATTTGTAAGAGTAACTAAGGTCATCTACATAGTAATTTCAGCCAATACAGCCTGAAAAGTAACTTTAATTTTACTTTTTCTGCTTATTACACATTTCAACGTGAAATTAAAGCTAACAAAAGTCATGTGTTTGATAAAAAAGTTGATTGATAAACCGATAAAAAGTGTTGCCAAAGAACATCTAATTCATGTGGGATCCGCTGTTCATTTGCTTGGTAAGAGATTTAGCTTCCACAAAATGCTAAAACCTGGGCAATTATGGATCTGCTATAAATTGAATTAAAGTTACATGAAATTACTTAGCTCAATGGAATCTTAAACAGGTGATAGATTAATTTCACACCATCGATCAGATCTGAATCCAAACCAGACACCAATTCAAGATAAACCGGCCTGGAAACCAAATCGATCGAACTACAACATCATAGTAGTAGTAGTATAGCGTACCGGAAAAAGAAGGCCGGCGCAGCCGGCAGGGGAATCTATATATATGTTACACTCACTGTATAAGCAAATAAAGGTAGACGGGAAAGAGAATCGATTAACCGGCGTAGATGTGAACTCCGATGGCGATGAGGAGAATAGTGATGACGCCGAAGAAGATGATGGTGTGGACCACAATGGCAGCCCCGCTGGTATGCATACCCCCGAACTCAACCACCTTGTTCCTGCCCGGAATCTGGAAGAGCAGCCCCGGAGTGAGGAGCACGAAGAGCACCACCGCTATCACCACCGGCCCCCAATCCGCCATCTCGATCTCCGGCGATTTGATTTTTCACGCTCTGCTCCGATCCAACTGCTCTTCGCCGGCCACTCAGCACCTACAACAACTCTGAAATACAGAAAATTATAAATAACTCTTGAATTGAATCTAATCACCGAAAGCTCTCACGTCTGTAAGGAGCAAGGAATGAAGCGAAGTGAATTTACAGCTTCGAACAAAGCACAGATTTAAAGGCAGGCGGATAGTGCTTTATGGCTGTGAAACTATATTTTTTTTCCGTGCCGGTACGCCACGTGTAAAGGCGCGTCGTTTAAGACGCTACAACTAAATTTATATTGGCAAATTGTATGTATGCTCTCAAATTGAAACGGTTTTATACTCATCCCAAATTTTAAATTTTTTAGAATGTGCTTGAGAGGTGTGATTTTAGCGATTTGGATCCCTGCAGCACGGTAGAGATGCCTTCGGCATCCATCCACAGAGACAACAGGGGAGGAGAGGCTGTGAGATTGCCTTGGTTGAATCGCGTGACTATTAAATACATGCATTGTACCTTGTTGCTATAGTAACTTAGCAAGGCAGAGAATCCCCATCCCGATTTTAGAGAGGAGAATGTATGTGAGAATGTATATCAGTTTAATTATTTGAGTTCACCATATATATCTCATAAGTGATTTTAATTATTATCCCTTCTAGAACTCTGTTATCCAATTTACTACTGACGTGCTCTTTGTCGTGATGTGCACTCAAAATAATAATACAATACGACACTAATACGTAGTATAGTGTAGTAAGGTTCGTATCCACAGGGAAAGGAACACTTCTCTTTTTATAGAGATAAATAAGTAATAACAGGGGGGTTTTATGTTTGGTTGATGAAATTAAATTATCTTTAAACACGAAGATGAACGAGTTATGTGGTTTAAATAAGAAGGAGACTTGGCTTTGCTTTTATCCACTTAATGAAATGTTCGTCGATCCCGGTTATATCTTTAACTATCTTCCTCTCGAATACTCAATCGAGGTGTATATCCAGTTCATCGAGGGTAGTTATTAATAACGAGATGCGTTCATTAATAAAACTTACTATTGAGTCAATATAGAACAAGCGCCGTATATTAACTTGATAGTAGCAATAAACTTAAGATGAAAACGATTGAGATTGATAACCTCAACACAAGCGGTTTATTGGTTTAATCAATATAATTAATTCCTCTTGGCTTATTAACCATGAGAAGCATGTATTAACAATCCAAGTTTACTACCATTGAAAGAACTGAATTAATAACAAGCGTATTAACCGATTGATTCTAGTAATAATTAATATATGAAACAAAAGTAATTGATCCTTTAAGTAATGCTCAAAATATTAATATGGAATATGAATAGGAAGTAATTAATATTCAAGGAAGAAGATTAAAGAAAATAACTCACAACTTACAAATCATTAAGCTTCAAAGTAGCAAAACCAAGATGGAAGAGTTTAGCTCCTCATTTGGAGACTAAACATGAAGAAAATATAAAGAAATAACTTGTTTAAACTGAGTTTAGAAGTATATAGGAATTGGTGATTTATTGTGGAGGAAATGAGGTGTATTTATAGGATTTTTAGGCCTGCAGGGTCGTGTATCCGATCGGGTATGTAGGGTACTCGACCGGGCCTTCAGTTGCTTCGCGGAAGCTGGAAAAACATGGACATACCCGATCGGGTATGTCGGCTACCCGATCGGGTATAGACACTCGATCGTGGTCAAAATCTCCCCTGCATGTTGCCTTGTTCCCGGGTTGATCCGATTTGATTTTTCAGCGACTTACCCGATCGAGTATAGGTCATACTCGACCGGGTACAACACAAAAAATCAGGATCTTCATTTTTTCTTGGAATTTTTGCACCTTCCTTCCACTTGTGATGTTCACCAATGGTCCCTAGAGTGGTCTTGGACCTGTTTGAGCTCAGAATCAACCTAATCTAAACAATTTTACAAACATTTTACAAACTAAACTATTACGCCAAAAGTGTGTAATTTCTAGAGTAACAATCACTCAAAACTAATCAAAAACACAAATATAAACATGGAAATAACATGAATGTCAACTACACTAAAATAAGAAGAAGAGTTTCTTCATTTTCCTCTCACTTTCGCCTCCAACAACTTACCATCAAAACTTCCCCCCTCCCCCAAACTCCCAAACACACCTTTAGAGAAATATCCCGAGATATGACTAAAGCATATTGAATTTTATTCATATGTTTTATGACTACTCCCAAATGAGAAGAAAGGTTTCCTCATGTTATCCTCTCTTTCCCCTTCAAGAGCTTACTTTCAAAGCATTCCCATCCCTTTCCTCCCAAACTCCCAAACATACCTTTAGGAAAATTTCTTGGGATATGTCTAATACATATTGAGTTTGTCTAAATATGATTAGCTTTTTTTAGACATTCCTATGACAAAAAAAAGCAAAAATATTATATTTAAATATTGAATGACGAAAATACTCTTGTTTAAAATATGTGTAATTGCATTGCAGTTGCTGCACCACATTACTACACATTCGATAATAATCATTGCACTTCCATCAAACATAAATACTGATAATAATCACTACACTCCCCGCCAGTGTTGTAACACTCTATCTATTGCTTTCAAATCACTGCACACCACACTTCTTCAAATGAATTTATACACTGCCTATGTACAACATTATATATTACCATGCTCACTGCGCGCCCACACGCAACACTATCTATTGCCATGTTGAATGCGCCACAAACCTTTTTTCAACAAAACCTGATTTCAAGAAATAGAAATAGAAGAATGATAATGGATGTTCAGCGACTGGACACTGGAGGTTGGCGTTTAGAGGATGGAGGCAGACTGAAGGGTGATATGTCATTCCAAACATGCTTCTAAAATCAGGTAAACTTAAGAACGACAACTTGTCCAAATAAATCAATATTACTATTGCAATTGAGTAATTTAAATATAAATGGATAATGAAGCAATGGTTTGAATCAATCAAATACGTAGTACATAATATGTAATAGTTTCCCGGTAAACCGCTAGTGGTATTACTTAGAGAGAAGGGAGATCTAAAATAGAGAGAGAGCTTGCAATTAATGGGTTGTGAACCCCTACAACTACCATCAAGAGGGTATTTATAGATGAAATATGGGTTGAGCTCCTAGATCTTGGGCCTACGAGGCCCACTTACAATAATGGGTCGCTAATGGAATGTTTACATGTGTTCGAATCAACTAAGGACATGCGATGTTCTCTGCTGGCCATGGGGCCGAGGCGCGTGGGTGCACCTCGGATGTAATGCTAATCCTTGGGTGTGCTTCTGGAGGCCTGTGGAGGCGGGTGTCAAGGTGATGGTACGGGTTGAAAATCTGATTCTTCATTCAGGACCATGCTCTTCCGCTGGATATTTTGATACCGATGTGGATTTTGGGCCGTGTGTATATCAAAAAATGTGACACATCAAGTTCAATATACTATCTATTATACACACGAATGTAGATTTCTTACGAAAATCAACTATACAATAGGTTACAAAGTGGAAATACATCCAAGAAAAGTTGAAAAAGTAAAAAGAAATTGGTAGGCTGCAATTCTAAGGAGAAAAATAATTTAATATTGTAAATGTAAGGCAGGTATTCAATTATTAACACCATAAGTGTATATTTTTTATATTATTAAGTTCGGAATATTTTTATGTTACACCACTTCAAAGTTTGAACACTTTGAAGTATTTAAATTATTGTTCTTATTCTAAAATGGGAATGTAGTATATCTATTACTCCTCCATCGTGGTGGATCTAGAACTTTTCTTAAGCAGAGACACTACGTACTCATCAATGGAGGAAGATGGGTCGGACCGGGTGTGAAACTAATCTATACCATGTGTAGACAATTTTTCTTAATAAAAAAAAGTTATGCAATGTCAGTTTCAAATGACAATTCTAGTTTTCAAACCATTAAAACATTTCTAAATAACAATATTCAGTTGAAAAACATAATACTTTATATAAATTAGAACTAGATCATCCCGACACCATTTTTGGTCTTGGATTAGAATTCAAATTGTTTTTGTACTAGGATAAACGATCAGAATTTCGATTTAGAACTATGATAATTTCCAACGTTACACGTTATGTCATAGAATAACAATGTTCAAAATTCCTTCATCAACTCGGTATTAAATTGTGAATCCTAACTTGTAACTCTCTGTCGGGCTAAACTACCTAAACTACTTTAATTTTCTTGATTCAATAATCTCCCGTTTGTTACAACTGCACTCTTTTCTAATACCTCTCTTATGGTATCATATCATGTTGTCTTGTCAGTATATGTCCTTTATTTTACAAGATTCCAACATTTTAGTAACATAACTATAGACAAATATCCAAAGAAAGTATCCACAAACTTCTTTATTTGTGCAATAGACACAATAACTAATTGTAATTGATACAAAACAATGAATATATCTTGTGTATGAAATTTCATTTAAGATAATCTTAAATCCATTAACCTCACCACACATATTAGAAGTCTTATCATATCATTGACTTCTAATTTTGGAAAAAGATAATTTGTACTTCACAGAAATAACCAACAATGCCACTTTTCAAGGAATGACAGTGTCAAGAACATGTCCAACTGTATGAAATAGCTTCATCATAACTCCGTAATCATTTAAGTGTTTTACAACAATTTACATATACTCTTTGACAAAATTATTACATATCTAATAGTCATAGTTTATACCAAAAAAAGCGGGGACACTCATTTTATCATAAGTACTAATACTAAATTTTGAGATCGGAGCGAAGCACTTGCCCCCCAGATCCTCCACTGCCTCCATCCGACGTTAACACATAACACATGAAAAGTTAACTTCTAATAACATCCCAATCGCAGATTTGAAGACATAACTCGGGAAAAAGTTAACTTGAAAATATTGAAATTAGAAATTAAATCAAACTTCATACTCGTATATGTATAACAACATTAGAAGTTCTATTAATTAAATCACATAATTTGAATATAGTAAGAATTTGATACATAAAAATTAGCTATCAAAGTGACATACATGAACTGTTAATAGTAAAATGTTACTACTCCGTATCATTTTCGAACAGAGATAGAGCAATAATAGTAAATTCATCTGGGATCCGCTGTTCTGTTCTGCCTGTTCATTTGCTTGGTAAAAGATTTAGCTTCCACAAATTGCTAAAACTTGGGCAACTATGGATCTGCTATAAATTGAATTAAAGTTACATGAAATTACTTAGTTCAATGGAATCTTAAGCAGTTGATAGATTGATTTCACACCATCCATCAGATCTAATCCAAACTAAACACCAATTCAAGATAAACTGGCCTGGAAACTAAATCGATCAAACTACAATATCATACTAGTAATAGTATAGTAGCGTACCGGAGAAAGAAGGCCGGCGCAGGCGCGCAACCGGCAGGAAAATCTATATATGTGATACACGCACTACTGTATAAACAAATAAAGGCAGACGGGAAAGAGCTCGATTAACCAGCATAGATGTGAACTCCGATGGCGATGAGGAGAATAGTGATGACGCCGAAGAAGATGA